GGCCGCCGGGCCCCGAGTCCTCGCTGGAGCCCTACGTGCAGACCCGCATCTTCAAGATCATCGTGATCGGGGACTCCAACGTGGGCAAGACGTGCCTGACCTTCCGCTTCTGCGGCGGCGCCTTCCCCGACAAGACCGAGGCCACCATCGGCGTGGATTTCCGCGAGAAGACGGTGGAGATCGAGGGGGAGCGCATCAAGGTGGGCCACGGCGGCACCGGCACCGGGCGGCGAGGGGAGCCCGACGCTGCCCGGCCCCCCGAGCCCCTGGCAGGGGCTTTTCTGTGCTCAGCCCGGCTGCAGGGAGGGGACCGGGGCACGGTTTCCCGTCCCCGCGTTGCAGAGACGCTTTCTGCACCCCTCGCCGCTGCGTCGTGGCCGTTTGCGGGGCCTGAAGCGATGGCGGGGGGTGACAGGCTGCCGTCCGTCCGCCCTCCCGACAGCCAGGCCCTCGAAGCGTCGGGGTGGCCCCCGGCTCCCGGCCAGAAGCCAGGCAGAGCTGCGGGGAGCCGGGGGAAGGAGCCGTAGGCAGAAACCCATGCGTCTGGGGGGAGCAGATGGTTGTGGGCTGGCGGCGGCTGCGCTGGAAGGCCCGGAGCTCGCGCGAGCTGGTTGCAGTGGGCTGGCAGCTGGGGTATTAATGCCAAAGCCCGCTGTCAGCGAGCGCCGGGAGGGTGTGATTGCAGCAGGACTAGAATAGGACGAATTTGCTGTCCCAAGGCCAGGGCGACACCTGTAAGAAAAGCATCGGCCCAGACCTGGGGAGCTCTGGGTGACGTGTCAGAGCGGATCTGCGGATCAACGGCAGCCAGCGGCAGGCAGCCGGGGGAGCGGGGCTGGCAGCGGAGCTTGGCCTGCCCGCTTCGGTGGATCAGCACCGACAGCGTCTGTGTGTAAGGCTGACTGCTGGAAGAAGCAAATATCGCTATTTTGCAGGCAGATGGGTGATCCAAAGTTGAGGGACTAATCACGATGAAATGAGAGCTGCTATTGGTGGGTAAGAACTTTAGTTGTGCTTTTAAACTGTCCATGAACATTTTTCTCTCTCTCCTTTAAGAGGAGGGCTGCTCATTTTTCCCCCTGCCTCCCCCAGCACCATAGCTGTGGTGGTGTGAGCTGTAGCGCAGGCTGGCGTGCAGCCCGTCTTACCGCCACTAGCCGGAAAGCCTTGCCAGGCTTTCTGCCTTTGGATATTAGTTGTGCTCCAGCAGGCAGGAGCGGGCGGCAGGGCGGCAGATCGGCCTGTTCCTGGGACCGTGCGTCTAAGGGGGGCGGTGAGAGGTGGGAGAGGTGCCCTCCCTCTCCTGCTCTGCCCGGGTGGAACAGCTCAGGGGAGACCGGCAGGGAAGCGAAGGAGCAGCAGCGCTTCTGTGCCAGCATTTTTCCACTCTGAAAGACTCTGGGGCAGGCACTGTCTCGGTGGGGCACAGGGTGATTCGGATTAACCACAGACACTTGTTTAGAAATTGCCGGTTCCAGGCTTTGAGGCATTACCTACAGGGGCCAGCAGAAGTCGTAGACTCGCAGGCTCACAGCAAGGTGTGGGTTGGAAGGGACCTCCGGAGGCCATCTGCTCCAGGCCCCTGCTCCAGCAGGGCCACCCAGAGCCGGCTGCCCAGGACCGTGTCCAGACGGCTTTTGAGTGTCTCCAAGGGTGGAGGCTCCACAGCCTCCCTGGGCAGCCTGTGCCAGTGCTTGGTCACCCTCACGGTGAAAGCTGTTCCCTGATGTTCAGAGGGCACCTCCCGTGTTTCAGTGCGCGCCCACAGCCTCTGGTCCTGGCACTGGGCACCGCTGAAAAGAGCTGGGCTCCATCCTCTCTGTAGCCTCCCTTCAGGTATCCATACACACCGGTAACATTCCCCCGTTGAGCCTTCTTTTCTCCAGGCTATACAGTCCCAGCTCTCTCAGTCTTTCTTCATAGGAGAGACGCTCCAGTCCCTTCATCATCTTCGTGGCCCTTCGCTGGACGCTCTCCAGTCCATGCCTCTCCTGTACCGGGGAGCCCCGAACTGAACACAGTACTCCAGGTGCTCCCAGAACTGAAGGCAGCCCACCAGCACTGAATAAAGGGGATGGACCACCTCCGTTGGCCTGCTGGCAACACTTTGTTTAATGCAGCCCCAGATACCATTCACCACCTTTGCTGCAAGGGCACGCTGCTGGTTCAGCCTGGTGTCCACCAGGACCCCCAGGTCCTTTTTGGCAAAGCTGCTTCCCGGCTGGGTGGTCCCCAGCGTGTCCTGGTGCCTGGAGCTGTTCCTCCCCAGGGGCAGGCCTTGGCGCTGCTCCTTGCTGAACTTCCTGAGGTTCCTGTCAGTGCATTTCTCCGCTTGTTGAGGTCCCTCTGGATGGCAGCACAACCATCTCCCATCCCAGCCACGTTCCTCCCAGTTTGGTGCCATCTGCACGCTTGCTGAGGGTGCAATCTGCCCCACCATCCGGATCATTAAGGAAGATGTTGAAGAGGACTGGGCCCGGTATTGACCCCTGGGGTACACTGCTAGTTACCGGTGTTCAACTAGACTTCATGTCGCTGATCACCACCCTCTGGGCCCAGATGCTCAGCCAGTTTCCAGTCCACCTCACTGTCTCCTCATCCAGCCCGGGCGCTTGTTGGCTCCTCTGTCACTTGGGCCAGGGAGTTGTCATCGGTGCTCTCCAGGAACCTCCTGGATCGCTTGTGCCCTGCAGTGTCGTCATTCCAGCAGCTGCTGGGGTGGCTGAAGTCCTCCATGAGGACCATGGCCTGCAAGCACGAGGCTGTTCCTATCTGTCCGCAGAGCATCTCATCCGCTTGTTCTTCCTGCTCAGGTGGCCCATAGCAGACACCCACTACAGTGTCACCCATGCCGGTCTGCTCTTTAACCCTCGCCCACAAGCTCTCGGTTGGCTCCTCGCCCATCCCCAGAGCTCCCTGCCCTCCCGCTGCTCTCCCGCACAAAGGGTGGCTTCTCCTCCTCATCTCTTTGCCCTGGCTCCTCTGTATGTGCCACTGTGTAATTGTCGGGGTTCTCTTTTTATGGCATAGGATTAGGTGGACAAACGTCCTGATCTCGTGCAAGGATGTTTGTGAAATGAGAAGTGCTTTGTGCGGTTCGTTTCTGCGGTGGGGATGGTGGTCAAGTGCATCGGGAAGAGGATGAGAAGCAGGGAGCAGTCCGGCAGCAGAGAGCTGCAGGAGGGCTGCCTGGCAAGGTGTTACAAAGTCAGGTAAGTCACCAGGCAGGGACTTTTCTTGCTGAAAAGCGTGCTGCCAGTTCTCTTGAATATATAGGATCAGCTGCCGTGGCTGAGAAATGGGATGTGCTGTGCAGAGCCTTGCACTTGCCCGTGACTATTGGAAGTGAATGGAAGTGCTGACGTGATCTCTCTCACAGCTGAGCTGGGCTTGCTTGGTTGAGTTACACAAGCACACGCGGGCTGGCCTGTGCAGCCTCGGGCGCTGTCAGCAGAGGCCCGAAAGCTTGTGCAACTTCTCCATCAGTCCTGGTTGGTCTAATAAGAGGTTGCCCCCCCGGCAAGGCTCGCCTTGCCCGCGCCCTGCCTCGGGGACCGGCGGGAAGCCCCCCTGCGCCTGCCTGCGGGAGCTGGGGGAGCCGGGGAGCTGGGGGAGCCAGCCGGCTCCTCCCGCAGCAGCCCGCACCCCGGGCGGACGCGCAGCGCTCCTGTAGCCTTCCTTCTTGTCCGCTTTGCTTCCTAGGTGCAAGTGTGGGACACGGCTGGCCAGGAGAGGGTTCGGGAGAGCATGGTAGAGCATTACTACCGCAACGTGCATGCCGTCGTCTTCGTTTACGACGTCACAAAGATGACCTCCTTCACCAACCTCAAGATGTGGATCGAGGAGTGCAACGGGCACGCCGTGCCCCCCCTCGTCCCCAGGGTGCTGGTTGGGAACAAGTGTGACTTGAAGGACCTGATCCAAGTGCCATCCAGCATGGCCCTGAAGTTCGCCGACGCTCACAACATGCTTTTGTTTGAGACCTCGGCCAAGGACCCTAAGGAGAGCCAGAACGTGGACGCCATTTTCATGTGCCTGGCCTGCCGGCTGAAGGCGCAGCGCTCGCTGCTCTGCCGGGACCTGGAGGGGCGGCCGGGCCAGGCCCGCAGGCTGGAGCCAACGCACGACGCCAACGGTAAAACCTCCTGCCCGTGCTGAGCGGGGCTCCCGCCGCCCTTGTCACGGTCACCCCAATAAAGTCTCTGCGCCTCCAGTCAGCTCTGGGTCTTGCTTTGCTCGGCCCGGCTCGGCGACGCTCGGCTCGGCCCTGTTCGGCTACGCTCGGCCCGGCTCGGCCCGGTTCGGTAACACTCGGCCCGGCTCGGCCCGGTTCGGCTACGTTCGGCGACGCTCGGCCCGGTTCGGTAACGTTCGGCCCGACCCGGCCCGGCTCCGCGGCGGTTGGCCCCGGTCGGGAAAGCCCCGCCCCGACCCGGC